AAAAAAAAAAAAAAAAAAAGAAATAATGGACTGCATAGCTTTAAGGTCAAGGGTGGCTTGTCTTGCTAGACAGTTAAAATGCAATATAGGATCACCTGGAATTCATAATACAGTACAGTGCAGATTTCTGGGCTATGACCCCAGATATCTTCTAATTAAGGACTTCTTGAGTGGGCAGAGGGACTCCGGACGTACTGCCTTGGCATTACAAAACATTTTAAGTCTAAGGAATTTGAGAAATGACATTTGCAGAAAGAACTTTCTGACTTTCTCTTGAAGCAGGTTTTAAAACCTTCATGTGACCTTGAGGAAGAAGCATTTGACTTTTGTCAGTGAAAGGACACAGAGTGGAACATGAAGGGACAGTCTTAGCCATTTCCCCAGTGGTCACCACACTTAGCTCACACCTTTTTATCCTACAACATTTCTCCACCACTCTTCATTCTTTGTCATACCTACTATCAAAACAGTCACCATAACTGTTTCTTCAGGACTTCATGTCTTTACGAGGGCCGTCACATCATATACATCTGAAACACACACACACACACACACACACATTTTTTTTTTTTTCTGGTTAATCTGTCTTTTGTTACAGGGGCCCTAGCCAAGAACTCAGAAGTGTAGAAGGAGAAGATATTTTTTTTTCTTCTCTTACAGGGAATCATTTTTAGCATATCTTTCAGTGATTCTGATTCAGGGCTTCCACCTTTTTAGAAGCCTGATGAACAGTACTGGTTCTCCCATTATTTTAAGCAAGTTGGCTGTGCATGAGGAACAGACTTACCCTGCTTCAGTCTCTGTATGTATATAAATTACTATGAAAACAGCAACTGCCTTCCCAACTTCACAGGTTTGAAAAAAGTAATAAAATGAGATCACAGATCGAAACCTTTAGTTTCTGGGGATTTCGCCCAGGTGGGCAAGTATTCTACGCTGAACCCCAAGCCATTTTGAGAAGCAAGGACTCATGCCAGGCAAGGCACTCTCACTCCACTCAACACTGTCTTAGCCCAGTGGAGCAGCCCCCAGCTGACAGCCCGCCTTTCCCTGAGCCCTCTGCACACTTCCAGGTGTTCACTTGCAGGGAGGGAAGGCTTGCTAACCTGTCTTCAGCCTGTTTGTTCCAGACAAGCTCACCTAGGTTTATCCCCTTCCAGACAGAATGCTACAGGACCACACACATTTCCACCTGAAATCTTTTAAACCAAGATCCAGAATGACCCTCCTAATAGGCCTACTTCCTCCTTGAAACCGAAGCACATCTGCCTCACTAATGATCCCATTAATTTCATTTTCCACATGTCACAGCATCTGTGGGCCACACTGGACTGCCTGCACGTGAGTCTTCTCTGTGAGCCAAGGCCTGCACCTGAGGTTTTCCCATCCACCCCTGTCCCTTGCCCTTTGGCCACATTCCCAGGTACAGGATGTACCTTTGGCAGTTTAGAGTGATCAACTTCGTATTTATCTCTTCTCCCTCCCTCTATTCCAATTCTTTTAGCAAAACCTATTCCAAGGCCACATTCACCTTGAAACAAAATAATAGGAGCACCATTTCCAGTTAAAGCACACTGCCCTTATCTTATAGATACATCACAAGGCCTCAACTGCCTATGACACCATTAAACATTCTGCAATAGCTGATGAGCATGTATTTGTAGTCACCCTGCCTCCCTAAAGAACAAAGAAATACATGATTTCTGTCCTAATTCTTCCTGTCATTACACTCATATTATCTCCCCCCCATCATTCATTTGCTCATTAACAGATTATATGTAATTTTTTGGTGCTGGGGATCCAACCCAGGTCCTGTACATGCTGCCACTGAGATACACTCCCCAGCCAACAAAAAAATGATCAAGCACTTAAGTATTTGATGTGTTGGACAGTCAGACAAGGTTTCTATACTTATGGAGCTTACTGTTTATTAAAGAAGACAGTAAATAAGTGAATAAGAAAATTTAAGGTTACAATAAATATTTTAAAGAAAATGAGATGTTATAGTATTACATAGAGTGAATGAGGCAGAGAAGTTGCTACTGTTAACTGGGTATTCAGGAAAGAAAATGATATTTGAGGTGAGACTAGAGGAACCAGCCTTGAAACAATCAGACCTTGGAAAGCTGTGATATAAGTTTTCACCGGATGGCATCTGTGCTTTCTTGACAAGAAAAGGAACTCATACTTTTAAGCTCTGATTCAAAGACATTATTATAAGTTATTGCCAGGAGATATCTATCTATCTATCTATCTATCTATCTATCTATCTATCTATATATATATATGTACAGTAGTTCATCAGAATGAGTATTCAGGAAGTATAACGGAAAGGCCTGAATAATTAATGTATGAGGAAGTTAGGAAAGTGGCATCTCATTAAGCCAATGAGTTTTCATCTTTAAGAAAGCCAAAAAGTGGGTGAGAAAGCCTCAGTGCGGACGAGATCTCCAAGAGTACATGGCCATCATTTCCCATCAGTCCCACAGGAACGCCTGGAAAGGTCTAACTGGGAAAGACATGGGCTGGGGCTGGATGGACCGGAAATCTAGAAGGGTCCTCTCAGCACTGAACAACCTACCTTTGCTTTGTTACCCTAGGCCCCATTTGGAAGTATAGAAAAAAATGAAAGAATGGAAAGGAAAATCCTAGAAAGCTTTGCAGGCTAATTCAGTACATATTTAGAATAATAAAATATCTTAAGTAAATCCCGAGGTCCTTGGAAGGCTGTTTCCTAGAATCATAATCAAGGAAGGTAATCCAGGAGCCAAGAAGATGATATTAAACATACATTCCAATCTTAAGAGATGCAGATCTCTAAAGGAAGAGTGCGGGGCATTAGATTTCATCACCTTGCAGACCCTTCTTAAATTCCTTTTCCTGAATCTGTATCCAGCAGAATTGTACCCACCAAATTCTCCAAATGCTTTCCAGTCTGCAGGCCGTGTGTATGCCTCCTCTTCATTCATCCTTTCTTTTTCCTTCCATGTCTCTAATCTCCATTCTCTTCCTCTCCCAACTCTTTATGATCAAAGCTTACAAACTGATCTGGAAAAGAAATTATCCTTAGAACAATGTCGTTTAGTGGAAATATACTGTAAGCTTCATATATCACTTTCAGTTTTCTTATATCTACATTTAAGAATGTAAAGGCAATTAATTTTAATAACAAGGGTGTTGTGATGCATTCCTGTAGTCAGAGCACTTGGGAGGCTGAGGCAGGAGGATCGCTGTGAGTTCGAGGCCAGCCTGGGCTACATAGTGAGTTCAAGGTCAGCCTGAACTACATAGTGAGATTCTGACTTAAAAAAAAAAAGCCAAGAAATTAAGAAAAAGTAATATCATCTACTTACCCCAGTAGGCCCCAAATATTATTTTAACTGGTGATCAAACTCAGAAACTACAAAGTTAAAAAGGACTTTACTTGGGGGTCTTAGGAATTGCAATTCAGAACACACTAGTTTGAATATCTCTGAATCAGTGTTGCATAGAAAGGAAAGAAGTTGGAAACTTTTTCGGCAAACAGTGTTGATTTACTATAAGGTAGAAAAAATTCTTTTGTATGAAAACTTCTATTGTGGTTTTGAACAGGGCAATGTGACAGGAACTATATGACCAATAGAAAATAAAGAAAATAATGTCTTTTTTTTTTTTTTTTTGTACCAGGGATTGAACTCAGGACCTTGCACCTTCAAGGCAGGTGTGGTGCCACTGAGCTAAATTCCCTGCTCAAGAATATAATGTCTTTACTTAGCAAATATATTCGTAAAACAAGAGCTGATAAACAATTGATAAGTAACTTAACTCTCTGGGCAAGATGTAATTATCTGTTTTAGATGCTTGCAGTTAAAAGGTAACCAAAATCCACAGGTCTAGACAGCTACAGGATTGTACATAAATTCTGCTTCCTTACAGTTTTCTGGCTTCATTTTATAAAGTTCTTTTGATGTTGCCAAGTGTGGTAGTGCACAGCAACTGGGAGGCTGAGACAGGAGGATCACTGTGAAATTGAGGCCAGTTTGGGCTACATAGCTAGTTCAAGGCCAGGCTGCATTACATAGTGAGACTGTCTCAAAAAAAAAAAAAGTTCTTTCAATGTTGATTTATCATTATTTTTTTCTTTATTTTCACATATGTAATCCATATAAAATTATTGAGTTATTTTATATTTTTTTCTTGCTATGTCTTTGAAATCCAGCATATATTTTACATGTGCATCTTAAAATGAATGTTGCTTCTTACGATGAAGAAATCACTTTTCAAGTGCCAAATAGTCACATGTGGATCTGGCTACCATATTGGACAGTAAAACATCATAGGATAGGGGGATGGGAAAGAAAAGAAGAAAGGTGGGCCCCAAATACCGAGATGTAGCCTGGCTTATGAAGTTTTCATAGGCTGGTACAATGGCAAAATGGTAAGAATAAAGATAATATGCTGAGTTTTTTGTAAAGGCCAATGTATTCAATTTTCATCTTTTGAGATTATGTCTAAGAGAAATGCTCCTCACAGAAATAATCACTTCTGAAATGATGATCTACTAATAATAATGATAATAATTTATTGTAAGCTTCTTAATGTCATTCTTTTAATGTGGCTAAATAAAAGGATCATAACTATGGTGTTTCTCCCATTAAAAAAAACGTTTTACTGGAACATGAAATCCAAATGGCAGAAAGCCACTGCTTCTTATACCACACAGTCTACATTAGCCTGTTTAATCATCACCACTGTAGGATGTAGTGCATTTTTTGGTCTGTTTTGAAACTGTAGGGCAAGAGAAAACAAAGCAAAGCAAAACAAAACCAAACCCAAAAAACCTTTTTCTCCACCCTCCTAGGTTTTCTAGTTGGAGACCTGGAAATTAAACTAACAAAGACAGAACCCCAAAGGAAACGCAAACAGAGTTTATTGACACATGGGGCCTGCACACACCTGGTTGAAATTCAAAGGTGAGTAATTCGAAGGGAGCGGTTGGAACTTGGGGCTTGTACAGCCTCTAAACAACAAAGAACATTACGTGGAGAATTGATCGGACAAAGGAGAAGAGGTTTTCGGTTTTTAGGGGCTGCGAACTGCAGAAGGTTAATCTATGGGGTAAACTAACAGACGATAAGGCTTGTTTTTGTAAGGGTTGTTGTGTAGATTACGCTGAGTCCCATCTCTGCACCACTAAGTCTCTGCTAATTGAGTCTAAGCCTTCTTTTAGGCAAATTGTGTGCTGTTTCTCAGTTGTCTTCAACTCAAAAATCATCCTTATGACAAAGTAGCATATTCTGATTTGTCATAAAACAATCCCATACTTCAAGAACAGTCACAACTACAGCGTTCAGAACTTTTCCCAAAAAACTATTTGAGAATGAAATGTTGATCTGATGGCCTGTCACACCTCCAATTTTAGTGTGTATTTTCTTCTTCAAGGACATAACCCACGAAAACCAAAATCAGCTATAAAAAATAAGAAATTAATATTGATGCATTAGTTTTATCCAATGCTTAGATCTCATTCAAGTCTCAATGTCTGTAGACTCCTGCAGTCTAAAAGAGTTGCTCAGTCTCTTTGAGCTACATGCTCTTGACACTTTGGAAAATCACAGATCAGGTGCCCTGACCCTCACAGCCTAGGGTCTGAAACTGGGTTGTTTGTGTGGTTGGGGGTGGTGTGGGGAGAGTGGTGGAAGATAACGAAAAATGGGAAATTATTAGAAAGAAGGCAAAATTATGCTTCATAGCTGGGAGCAGGTGGGACCATAGCCTGATGAGCCAATGGCCACCTGGAGCACCACATGCTCTTTATTTCTAGTGGAAGGCAAACAGGAAGAGAAATCGGGGCAAATCATGCTACGTGGTCTACATGGCCCAGGGAGAACATGGTGTGATTGTTTCATGATGGGGCAGGAGCAGGAAGGGAACAGGGAAAGATATACAATGTAACTGTCTCCTGGGGCTGTGCCACCCAGGGTCTACAATATGAGGAGAAGAGGAGTAGGGAGTAGGTGAAGGACCCTCTTCAGGCTCAGCCTGAGCAATCAGTTATTTCATGCTTAATGAGTAGTAGGGAGTTACTTTGAAACTGCCAATATCCCATTCCTCATTGGATTTTTAAAATGTTTTGACCCTCAATTTGTCCTAAGTTGAGTCCATAGGAGTACTTTTAAGCCTTTGTGTCTCCCATCAGAGGCTTTCCTAACATACTGGTGGTAGTTCTTGTATAAGAATCAGGTACTGACTAGAATGTGGGGTGGTAGAGAGAAATGCCAGATAAAATATAGACAGCCACTTAAATGTGAATTTCAGATAAACAATAAATACTTTTTTTTTCTGTAAGTATGTCCCAACTAATGTGTAGAATATATTTACTCTAAGAAATTATTTCTTTTTTATTTGAAATTCAAATTTATCGGGGCATCTTTTAATTTACTAAATCTGGTTACCTTAGGTCTTATTCAACTAGTGATATCCTTATGGGTAATTGTATGGAATCTCAGTTTTTCTCAGCTTTTCAGTTTTCACACACACACACACACACACACACACACACACACACACACGCAGAATCCTCACATTTATCCTTTGGAGCTATAAGTCCAGTTGCTAATGTACCACAAGTCAGTTCTGGTAAGGGAGCAGTGACTATTTTCAATGCTTCTCTCTTCTCCTAGCTACACCACGTCTCTCTCTCCAGAATACAATCCCAAAGGAGAAGGGAGGAGCAGTTGCTTGCCACGGAGAGTTAGGGGAAGGAAACTGGAAATGATCTACATAAGTTTTTTACAAACTTTCAACCAACCCTCCTGTTTTCAGACCTACTCAAGAATCCCACCTTTGGAAAAACCAGTTACCCCAATGTCTGAATCTCTCTGGAATTCTGAAAACAATTGATTTGTTTTCTTGTAGGTTTAGATTTTAACTTTCTCCAAAATTGTATTTTGCTGAAAATTACCTTGTGTGGTTACATTGAGGCTTTTTCTTAGTTTTGGTATACACTGTAATTTTCACTTTAAGCATTTTAGTCACTTTAAGTAATATTTATCTTTTACTTCTTGTTCTTTAATGCATATAGATGCAAAAATGGTATGAGAAAAACTATTAAAATTTTAATTCTAGTAGATACTTGGAGCAATCTAAAATTAATTTGAGAAACTTTTATGCTGTAATCTTATTAGGACTATTTGAAAAGCCCTGTTCTTGCTTTTATCCTAGATTAGAGAAAGTTTTCCTTGTCTTTTACTTTTTTTGTATTCTTTTGTGCAGTTCATCTCGGCTACCTGTGGGGAAAACTTCTTTCTTTCTTTGTTTTCTTTTTTGGTACCAGGGATTGCATGTGGGTCCTTGCACTTGCAAGGCAGGCCACCAAACTGCTGAGCTAAATCCCCAGTCCTTCTTTGTTTTTTTGAATTAAAGTTTTCATGTGGAAAAAAAAAAAAAAAAAGAGAGATAAATGTGAATGTTCAGTCTGTCACACCTAACCTAACTAAACTGTGTTTCTCTTTTATTTTATTGGCTAATACATGTGGAAGAAAATTTGCCTCTCCTGTGTTGAGAATTCCAATATCCTGGGGAAAGGCTGTTTAGATAAACCCAGGATTTCTTCTCCCTTTTTTTCCCTCTGCCTCCAATACAAGACTAAAGGTAACTCTGATATAAGTCCTGTGGCCTGCCTGACATGGTGTTTTGGCACTTTTGGATTCCCAAAGAAGGCTGGACTACAGTGTCTATATATCTTTTTTTTTTTTTTTTAATTGAGTTTATTGGTACATTTAGGGATACAGTACAGTTACATTCATTGTTGGGATCATGTACCTTTACATCGCAAGTCTTGATTCTCATTTTTTTCCCCTTACCTCTGCCCTCCCTTCACCCCCTCCTCCCCTCCCCATCTACAAACACTTTATTTTCATCTTTTCATTCTCTCACATTTTTTTCTTTTCCCTTTTTGTTCTTCCC